TTACATTCAGGTGTCTACATAGCAGATGATGGCTACGCATTTTAAAATAATACTCATCGTAGGTCGGATTTCAAAATGCTGTCAAAGCCCTGTAAAGATTTGGCAGCAAATCAGAATTCTCCTCAGTATTTGGTTACAAACAGAACTAACAGAACTTCAGTGCTTTGCTGAATATAGATAAATAGACAGACAGACACATACATACATATACGTATATATACATACACATATGCCCGTATACAAACACATACATGCACGTTTGTATGCAGGTTGAAAGAAAAGCATTTGTAATTATCACTGATTTTCCATTTTGGGCAAGGAATATGCAAAGGCAGGTGCTCTCAGGGAAGGAGGAAGTGGTCTGATGCCACAACAGTGGTTTCAGGCAGCTCAGGCTTGGGAACCAAGATGAGATGAAGCTGTGATTTCTCCTTTTCCACCCAGAGAAAGCATAAGACTGGCTCAGAGAAAAGCAGCATGTGTCACTGTTCACTACCTCGCTCGGGGAGCTGCTGTCCCTAAGGCATCCCCCATTTGCCTATCCTACACTGAATATATCCTTACCTCTGGCATTTGCAAGAAATACTGAGATGTAGTCTTAAATATGCCTTAATACTCAGTCATCACAAAGTCTGTCCAGGAAAGGGAAGTTTTAGATTTCCCTGTTTGGAGTATTTAAATTGTATAGAACAGATCTCTTAGATATTCCACAAAACTTGGAACAAAAGTCACTGGATATTCAACTAGTCCGAAAGAATTTTCCCATCTGATACGAAACTGTTATTAAGGATTTTGGGTCAGATGAAAATACAAATTTTTTTAAAAGGTGACAATTTAAAGATGATGCTAAAATGTGCAGTTATCATCCTCAGCTAACTATGGGGCCTTTAATGAGGTACGAAAGCATATGAAGCAGTAATTGGTTCACAAACTAATAATGTTTCTAATAATGTTTCTTCATAATGTTTCTTAATGATCATGGTCTAAAAACACTTAGGGTTGGGCTTGAAAAATGAGTCTAGGGAATTAGATGTTAAATTTAATGTGATTTGAGGTTTTGGGGGATTTTGGACATCTCAGTCTCCTGCGTTTCTCTGAAATTGTAGCTGCTGTCTGTACGCTTGTATGTGGTAACAGTCCATCTGTCTGGAAAGAGAGGATTCTTCTTCCTGTGCAGTTCATGCCATCTCTTTTGACCCTGACTAAAACCTGCCACAGGTGTCTGTCTTTATGTTTATCAAAGAAACTAAGCTCAGTCTGTTAGATTATTTACATCCTGAAGCTGTTTTTCCATCAAACAGTTACCCAGCATAGTCTTAAGGCTATTTCATGTCCCTCTCTGTGCCGAGAGCTGCAGGCAGTGGCCCAAAGCTGTTGTCCCAGCTTCAAGTGTCCTCCCAATGCACCCGCTCCTTTCCAGGTTGGACCCAAACACTCCGTTGGCACTAGAAAGGGAAGCGTCACGTCTAGCGCTGACCAACTGGGAAAATGTCCCCACATGGCATGGAAAGAGCTGTGGGATCAGCATGGAAAAGGTTGTACGGCCTTTCCCCAGCTCTGCACTGCAGCCTGTCGTCAATGTGATAATGTGAGGCCTTGCCAAAAGGCAATGTGACATGAGGCAGGGTGTGCTGTGCACAACTGCAGGAAGGTCACGTCGTAAGCGTTATTGAGGGGAATTAGCTGGTGCCCTCGTGCCAAGATTGCTCATCTGTAGTTTTTTAAAGGTTCTTGGGAAATTGTTTTGAGACTCGCCCCAAATTTATCACTTCTTTTTGTTGTTTTCTGCCTTCTCCCAACCAGTCCACGCAGTACTACTAATTCATTAGAAATCTTTCTGTTCTCTTTAGTGACTTCTTTGGGATGGTGTCAAGACACTCGTTCAACTTCCCCACCAGCTGGAAAATCCACCTCACATTCCCTGTGTATTACCAACAACAAAGAACTTTAAAGATTTCCTTCACCTCTTATGCATTCAAATCCTTTTAAATACACCCTCTGTTTGATGAGGGCTGGGATTATAATCCACGACTTGGCTGTTATTCAGTGAGGTACTATTGGCACAATAATCTGAAAATCAGTACATAAAAAGAGGCCTCTGGAAAATCTTGGGAAACTGGTCCAATCTAGTTCATGCAGGATGAAATGTTTTGCTGTTTTAGGAATTATATATCCTACACTGTTTTGTTGTTGTTGTTTTTCATTTCATTTGTCTCTAACTGGCTGATGGAAATAAAAATATTGGGCGCACATAGATTAGCTTTCTTTCAAGGCATTTCAGATCCCTGTTTCACTGATTATTTAACAGATGCTTCTAGTTTACCTATTCCCAGGGACCTGATAACTCAGCTGCTCAGAAAGGTTCAATCTCAGTACCCTGTACGCGAATTTACACCTGAGAGAGGTTTTTTCCAACAGCAAAGCTCTCCCCAAGCCACTTGGAGGTAGCTAGAGAGTATCGTGCCAGACCTGAGAGTTGGGGACAGTAAGAAAACAAGGCAATGCAAGATAGAAAACATGTAATTAAATGCACAGATGCAGGAGAAAAAAGGAACAATCTACAAAGTTGGATCTCCAGGAGTTAGTGATACTTCTGTTGAGCTATGCAGATTTTAAAGGAGATGTAACTGAGTATTCCTCTCTAGGATGATATCTTTGTTTTTGTTATGGACTGCCATATTTTGCTGCACCAAATATATAAAAATAATCTAGTCAAGCCCACAAGACTGTAAAAAAAATATTTTGCGTCTGAATATTAGATGTTTTTGACATTTCTGTGGAACTGAAATGCTCAGTGTTTTCTGTGATCACTTTTTTGGCTTATATCAAAATTGTATTTCTTTTTCTTTTTTTCCCAGAAACAACAAACAAGTTACAATTTCATTATTTTCAGTTTTCTGGTTTAAAATTTATTTTTTTTTGAAAAAAATTGAACCAAAATTCAGTATCTTAGTAATTCCCCCATTTTTGAGCATCTATAAAAATAATAGGTGGCTGATCTTTAACTGAGTATCTCGTCAAGCCCAGCAATTTGCTCTAATTACATTAATCAACTACAGGATGAGCATGAAGGCTAGGCTGAATTGTGTATATCCAGTGGGAATCAATAGTTTAAAAAAAAAAGATAAAATAAACTTTGCTTTTTGTTGCAGTGTTTAGAAATGTGTTCTAGACAATTAACGTGGCTGCTGCAGTCAGCAGCTTCTCTGAATTTCTCTGCTTAACCTAGAGGAGTCCCTGTGTTCCTCCTTCTGCTTCTCCTCACCCCAATACATGGGTCCGGTTATCATGTGGCTTTTATTTTTGGCCATCAAAGAGAGGCTGGATTTTCCACTCGTCCTGTACCTTTCCTTCGTCTTTTAACATCTGAAATTAGCTGAGGGATGAGGCATGAAAAGGATGCACTAGCCACAACTTGGTGCCAAATCCTGCCAGTCTTTCCCTGGCAGCTGTGTAATACATTCATGCCAAGCAGATGATAAAAGTTGGCAGTTACGGGTGTATTTTGTGGCACAAGTCTTTGCTGAGAGAAAAAGCTGCTTTTGGGAGAGCACCTCATTCCGAGGTCTCACACTGACCTGCCCAGAGCACACTGCCTGCGCTTGTATTTCCTGCACCAACGTTTTCTGTGCTCAGCGTGTTAGGTGGAGATCATAGCAATGGTCTCGTGCAGCGTTTGCTGACAGACTATCACGGTACGTGCACGTGAATAGGACAAAAGGCAATTACGCCAATATCGAATAATCATGCAGCCCTGATGTGTTCCATGACAAACGTGTCATCTCAGATATCCCCTGATCAAATCACACACACACACACACACACACACACACACACACACAGGAAAGGCTACTCTTGGGATCCAGAATGGAATCTCGGGATGCAGAATACTAACGGTGCACAAAAGCCATGGTTGTCTCTTCTGGAGACTGAGTTCTGCTGTTATAGACAGATTTCTGAAGCCTCAACATAAGGGAAGAAATGGTGCTGGAGGACCCCAGCCAAGGAAACCTAATGGCCGAGGTTTCTGCAGGAAAACCTCTGGGTCACTCAAAGCTCTTCTGAAGAGCGTTTGGAGGAACACTGCATCGAGGGTCTAGGTGCCTGCCAAATACTATTTTTGAAAAAGGTAGACTAAATTAAACATTACTCCTTAAACCGCAGATATATTTATTCATTACAATTCTGGCAAATAGCCACTAGTTATGAATCTTTATCCCTTAAGCAGTTATGCACTTGAGTTATGATTTTCCCATTACTGTCCCTGGTAAACATGTTGGATTACACCATTTTAACCCATGATGTCATTCCAGTGGGGACAGCTAATCAAATCCAGACCTCATGTGCCTCCAAACACATTATACTTCCTCCAGCTGTTAAATTCTTTGAAGTGCACATCAATAATGATATATAGCTTCCTGGGGGAGGGGGGAGGGTGTCTGTAGTGCAATGATTTGCCCTGACCAAAGCTGTCTGGGCAAAATCAAAGCCAGAGCATCGAACTGAGGGTGACTCTTGCAGTGCTGGGACTGCCCTTTCTCTCCTCTCTGCCCATCCGTTGCTCCTCTCTTATGCAGTTGGCTTTTTATTGATACAACACTTGCTTAATTGTGAAATACACTGACAAAAAGCAAGTGCTTTTTGGGGCTGCTGCTGCTTTTGGGGCCTGCATTTTCAGTGCTATTAAGATTCAAAATAATCATCTGATGGCACAGCTGAAAGTGTGAGAGGAGATTTTGAGTTTCTTCCACAAAACCTTCCTGACCAGATTAATGTTCTGCACAGAAACCTCTCTGTCTCTTTTTACTAGATATTTTTTACTCCTTTGCTAAAGAGACAGCAGGGGAAAAAATGTCCACATGTCACTTAAGTTCTCAAATAGAGCTAGAATGACATTTGCAGGAAGAATATGTGTTATGTAGATATGCTCTTCTTTTTCTCATACTTTTTTTGGTACAAGTTCGTATCCTCATGCTGCTATTTTCTTTTTCACTCCCTAGTTTTTTCTAACAGAATACTCCGGGCCTCTTCTAATATACTTGCTCTTTTACGTTCGTCTCTCTACTATTTACGACCAAGTGGAAAGCGTGAAGAATTTCCGCCACCCTGTGGTTCAGTAAGTGACGTGCATCAGCTGTTGGGTGGAGGACACGGAGGTCTGAGAGGGGTGATGCCAACTGTTCAGCAGAGAGGAGCTCACAGGGGATGTGAGCCAGGTTTCCCAGCGAGCTCACAACTGTCCTAAGAGTCAGTCGGAGTTTCAGGTGGTTCTTATGACCTTTTGGTATTTCAGTTGCCCTCGTTAACCCGACCAAAAATAGGGTGTCCGTTGCAATGGTCACTGCATCTGCTCCCTGTGGGATGTAGTGCTTGCTGCAAACAGTGTGCGCTCCAGGCGTGCAAGCTGAACCAGAGGTGAAATGCTAAACAGAAGCAGTGGTGCTACCCCGTAGCACTCAGGCATGCTACAGAGCAGAGAAACACAGTTTATAGGTGGGAGAACAGAGAATTGGGAGACTAAGGGAGTTAGCGGAACTGTGAATAAGAACCCCACACTGCTGAATTCAAACCCAGAGCTACCAGATTCTTGCCTTCCTCATACGCTTAAAAGGAGAGCGTTTTAGTAGCACAAAAGAGCCAGAAACACTTTTGCCTTCTTTCAAGCGGGCAAGGAACATGCAGAGCTCTTCCAGTGATCACTCTCAAAGGGTGCATTTGCCATCCCCATCCTAAGCTGAATTAAATTTAAAATTTCCAGCAAGGCTAAAAGTTTTGCTCCAGCCTTTACTTAGGTCATTAATTCTTTGAAATTTTTTTAGCTCAAATCTCTCTGGTTTAATCACTTTGAAATTGTTTGATCTTTGACTACCATACAAGATGCTTAGTAAAAGTACTTGAAATTTGACATGCTGAAAAACAATTTTCATTTATGTCTTATGATTGGCCCGCAGTGAGACAGACTCAGGTACTATGGTAAATGTAACTAAGATAAAATGCCACCAGGAATCACTCTTGACATTTGTTTTTGAAATTCAGTCTTTATGAACTTCAAGTCATTCTCTGAAGCAAATCAGTAGCACTTGTTATTGTTTTATAATCTTCCTCAAAAGAGAATCAGTATAATAATTTCTAGAACAATTACCACATTCCATTGTAGCTGGGTGCAAAAAAAAGCCATTGCAATGCATTAACTTCACAACAAAATCTCATTTCGATTCCACAAGGTAATGAAATACAAACTACCTCCATGCAGCTACTTTAGCTGGCAAAGGAAACCACTGGGAAGCTATTTAGCATGTTTGCAAATGTTAGACACATCCGACAGGGGCATTAAAGTAGCCTTAAAAGACGTGAGGCTTCTTTTGGAAAAGCATGGCAGACGTCTGCTTGTGTACACAGCTGTCCCATTTTAATGTCCTGTCAGGGGGATGTATCGCACTCAGAGCCTGAGGAGCCTTTTTAATTCAAGACTAGTAAAAATAAGTTGCTTCCCTCTAAAACGGAAGCAACTTGATATAACACTGAAAATGATTCCATTAATCTTTGGCTCCAGATGCTTCAGCTAAGACAAAACCTTAAATCCTGAGATTTCAGTACGACTTTGCAGTTTTGGAATATTAGTCCTTATTCTTTTTGTGACAATAAACTGTGAAGAAATAAAAAACAATATTTCATTTCTCTTCATTTTCTTTCTGCAGCTTGGCTTGCTTCTGTCATTGTTTACACTATACCAGGCATCTTCTGGAAACATTATTTGTTCATAAGTTTTGCGAAGGACACACTCCTCTGAAAAATATGATAAAGGTAACAATATATTTATCGTTTTATGTAAGGCAGAGAAAACCCTCATATTGAAGCAGTCCTTTGAAAAAGATAGTAAAATTAGAAATACTTTTCAGCGGAAGCAATTAAGATTAGTCAAAACGTAACTACAGAAAAAATCTCAGGACCATGTCCCAACCAAAGGACATGAATAGGAATCAATGTCCATTTTTACTGCTGCATATCAATGTCCACTTGATTTAATGAATGGTTCATCATGTCCAGGTTATTTTTCAGACTGATTGCTGGGTTTTTTATGAGATATGCTGCTGCAAAAAATAGAAATGATTACGGAAATCACACTCTACTTCCTTGGTGCAATAAAAATGTGAAATAAGAGACACCCCTTGCATTATAAATTTAAAACCAAATTACAAATAGAAAAAAAAAATGTTCTCATTCTACATTGGAGGCCTCAGGAAGGAAGATACTGAGCTTCTTAAAGTTACCTGGCTCTTTAGTAGGCCTCTTGAATTTCAACTATTTGTCATTATCTTGTAGGCTCTCCTTCCTCTAATTCTACATCCTTATTCAGTGTGAAGTAGAGAATCCTCCCTTTTAAAGATTTGGAATTCTCCTTTTTACGTTTACAATTTATGTTTTTTTTTCCATTCTTTTCCATTTTTTTTTGTTGTTAATGTAAATTTTACATTTACAATTTTAGTGAAGGGGATTAATCTATGTCCATGTCCTATTCGAGTCGGAAAAGAGCTAATGAAATATGCACAGCTAGGCGGCTGACTTAGGCCGTGCAATACTTGACAATAAAAAGGAATATAAGCTAGAGCACCTACATGCTTTTTGAGCCAGAGTGCCACTTATAAAGGCAGAAATTAGAGATCTAGTATGACTGCTGTTTCCTAGTGTCTGTAGTATAGCTGCCACAGTGGCACTGTGTAAAAACAGTAAAAATAGGAAGTTTGCCTTGCTGTCCGAACCCTGGGCAGAGCTGGAGCCCGTCCGAACACACGGCTCTTCCTGAGGCTGTGCAGAGGGTGAGGAGACCCTCACTGGACACAGAGAAGGGCCTTATCTAGTGTCCCACAACAGGTCTCACAGATGGAGGAGGTGGGCCTGAATCCATAGGTGCAGGTGGTGTGTACCCATAGAGCTTTTTAAAAAAACCTATAGTGTTCCTTAACTCAAGGAGCCACTACACAGTTAACCAGTGATCAACAATTACTGTTAGGAATATATATATATATACATATATATATATATACACACACACACATATGCATAAATGTACAGTTTGTAGCTTCTTATGGCCCTTCCGAATAAAAGTAGTATCTATTCTCCATTCCAGGGCTGTGCCTTTTACTGGGGATTCACTTCGTGGATTGCATACTACATCAACCATCCACGGTATACACCACCATGTATGTATAAGTAGAAACGACTCTGATTTTAAAAAGGTTTTGTTATTCAACTTCAAGTTCTCCAAAATCAATAGAGGTTTCGGCCTAGACAGCAAATCATATGACTAATCTGCCTAGAGGTAAGGTTGGTGGAAGGAAGAGTATGTGGAGGGTGGCCCTCCTGCTTTATATATGTTCTTAATGTATGTGCTTGTTGAGCAGTGGTTGCGTGCTGTGCAGTTTTACAAACAGCAGATACCAGCCATGCAGAGGAAACAGAAAGATCAATGTATTTTGCTTATCATCACTAAAGCTAGCTCTGTTTCCTTGGAGGAGGTATTTATGTGCTAAATAAAGGCCTTTTTTTGTGAAATAATCAAAAGTAAATCAGATAGTAGTGAAAAAATGAAAAAAAAATCTTATTTTTTATTTCCAGATTTTACTCATCATTTTGTGCCTTTTCATTGTATTCTATTGCTATATTGTTGCTACTTTCTGATTTTTTTTTCTTCTTACCTGCTCTTTGAACTTTCATTTGATCATAATTGTCATAACTTTTGTTTCCTTCTACCTTTTTAGGGTGGCATTTTGTCACTGCCTTTGTCTTCCTTTTCCTCTGCAACTGATACATATCTATTAGCTTTGGGGATTGCTTTGATTTGCTTTGTCAGTTTTAATTACACATCTTTATACTCACAGTGAAGTATCTCATTTTTTTTTTCAATCCATAAGCTCTCCCGAGTGGCATTTGCTTCCATTTCAAAATAATAGAAAAACTCACTTTAAGAATTTTGTTACTCATTGTAAGACATTTGATTTTGGTGTGGCTTTGAAAATAGTGCTACAAACAAGGTGGAAACCTGAGACAGAGCTCTAACCATCAGATCAGTAGGTGCAAATTCTTTAGTTAATTTATATTTGCTCAAGATGCAGTCTGAAGCCAGAAACCATGTTTACTTCTGCAACTTCTCAATAGGGAAAGCCTTCAGAAGAAATACATCTAATTCCTTGCCGCTGGCTGCCTTAAAATGACATTTGTAGGTAAATGGAGCAAAGCCCTCTGCTATAGTTACATGGATCAGTAAAAAACAAGTTATTTTGGATGCAGGAGACCTCCACAGTCGTATCAAGTTATGATTATTTGGGTCATTCAGCCATATACCAAGCTTACAGAACTGCAGTCCTATAGAGATGCATGGGATACAGCACTATGGGGACAACAGCAGAAAGGAGATTAAGCAAAGGGCAGTTAGAAACTGCAAAGGTTTCGCTGCATGGTCAGACTGTGAAGCAGATCCTGGAAATACAGAAAAGCCTCACTGCTAAAAGGATAATAATGGATAGGTTATGGATTGGATTCTCTGCTCACGGAGCTAGAAGGGCCTATCCATAACATGAGGCTAAAGTGGAAAGCACATGCAAAAGATGTAGTTCCTGGCCTTGCTCTGCCTCTGACCTTCACTCATCCCTCTCCTCGCCTTTCCAAGAAATATCACAACACCAGCTGCTTTGACAAAAGCCCTTGGGGATGTGAGGCTAACAAACGTTAGATGGAAAAAGTTAAGTAAAAGCTGCCTTGAAATCAGTGGTGTGGGTGCTCGCATTTCCTAGGGTGCTGCTACTGTTTGCATTGTCTTATGGAATAATATTCATTTCTTTCTGCAAAGCCTGTCAGGAAAGACGTATTTCTGCTCCTCAGCACCAGATTAATTTCGCCCATAGCAAACCATGTGCATACTATAAAATGCAATTTATAATTTCATTCTATTTTCTAGCATTTGGCCACAGACAAGTTTCTTTTGCTGCCCTTGCCTTTCTGGTATGTATGAAAATAAAGTGTTATTAATGACTGTGGATTAAGAACAGCTCATGATTTAGCAAAATGCAGGGCTGATGCTATACAAGCGTGTATATATATATGCCCATTCCTGCAGCCCTGTGTCATTTGATTGGATATAGTGATATAGAGATTCAATTAAGGTTTCTGGGCCAGGAATTCTACTATTATTTGCCTATATAGAGCTTAGTGTACTGATGGTATGTGTGTGGTGCCTGAGCACCATGAGAACATCTTTTGAGAACATTTTTACTACTCATAATTATGCAGAACATTAATATTTAGACAGCTACAAACTTGCAATTTCTGAAACACTACAGAATTATATACCAATCAGACTTTTCAATAGAATTATATTCCCTAAATAACTTATTTCTACCCTTGGCAGCTATTAAAAACAATAAGAAATCCCTGCCAAAATGGATGAAGCCAAGAAAAAAAGAGCAGCTGAGGAAGGATGGCCAGCATTTGTTTATCAGCCATATGTTTAAACCTTCCTTTATGTAGCTCTGCTTACAGATACCACTTTTCCAGTGGCTGTGATGAAACTTCACCAAAGCAAAAGGAAGGGGCAGTAGATGGGACCACACGGGGGTCCCACACGGGGCCAAAGTTAAAAATTACGGCATTTTGGTCTCATCTGTTTGCAAAAAGATGGACAGTTGGAATGGCTTTAGAAGGCTGATGTCCCCTGAGTGGAGCGTTTGTAAAAAATAACTCATGTGGGTCATTTTAGAGAATGTTATTCTATAGCTCTGATGTTCAGGGTGGGACAGCAACATGTAGGTTCCTCAAAGCAAACACTATTCAGAAAAGCACCCAAGCAAGTCCTTAGCCAGCAAGACTCTGTAAAAACCACAGTTTTGGCAGTGCTTGTCTCTGGGGTTGGCCCTGCAGACCTCTGTTTTTCCTGCATGGATGAGGTGCAGCACAGAGATGCAAAATGGAACAAGTCCAAGGGCTCAGTGAGGCTCAGCAGCTGGAGGCTGTCCCACTCATTGCGTGCCAGGAGGCCGCAGAAGCGGTCGCCGTTGTTGTCAGCCTTCCAGAAAACATCATGCGAAACCCGCAAAACTGGGTGCCCGGGTATTTTCTGCTTCAGAAAAGCAGATTTTTTCTAATGATGCACACTTCCTCACCTCAGTGGGCAACCCTTGCTGTAACTTCGTACAGAAAAACTGCCATCAAGTTAAAGGAACGTGGAGCATTTTCTGTGAAATGTGGCAGTCCTCTTCCTAGCTACATCAGCAACTGGTCCGTGCTCTGAATTCTCCCAGCTCTTTGGAGAACTTCATACCTTTATTCTCTTCACATTAAGACCTTGTTTTGGCAGGTTCCCGGACACTGAATTTTAAACAGCAACACACAAAATATGATTTGAAGTTGTTTTTTTATAGGGTTCTAAAACTTATAAATAATATATTCAGAAGATACCTTATTTTTTCTCTCTCTTTTTAAGTCTTGTCTGCATCACACATTCCTGATTTAAAGCATATAGATCTGTACTTGCTGCAAACAACAGTAATGAGTAACATGTGCAGCAGACCCTTTTGAAAGGGTCTGTAATGATCAAAATATTACCTGAAGCTTATCAGAGATGTTTTTCTTATAGGGTACACATGGAATAGAAAGAGTATGGTGTATATATTTCATTATTTCAAAATTACAAATAGCATAAGGCTTCGTTCCCCTGTTTTCCACAGCTCCCTATTTCTGCTTTCTGAGACACTGACCACAGAATGGGCTTCCTTAGCATTAGCCACCTTTCTAAAGAGGAATAGAAGGGCTAGCAACAGTTGAATGCAGCTGTAGACTCAATAGTTAAATCCCAAGAAAACCCTGCAGAAATGCCCATTGCTTGGTTTGCTTTTAACTGATAATAGAAGTAGTAGGTGTTAAGTGCAGTGTAGGAACCTGTTTTGGCCCACCGTGGCATGTACATCACACATTTTAATTGGAATCGTGTTTCATGAAAACATTTTTAACTTTGAAGACTTTTTCTTTAAAATTGCGATGAAAAGACTTAACAATACTCCTACCGCAAAATAAAATACATATACATTAAAATTACTTCTAATGCTTTGGCTAAAGTTACACTTTCTGGTGGGATATTTTATAAAAGAATTTCCTCATTGGTTTATTTTATTTTTTACATCTGTTGTTTAGAGTGGATGACAGCCAGTTAGTTGTAATTAAAAAAGAATAAAAGGACTTGACCCGTGATTACATATTCATGCAGAATATCATCTTTGCTAACAGAACTGCTTTAAACTGTCCTAAAAAACACACTCCCCCGTCCTGCCACAAAAGCCATGCAGAAAGCTCACTGCCAATAAAGGAGAAAATCTTCAGCAAAGTTTTCAACATTTTTGCTTCCAGTAGTGGCACATTTAAATACAAAATGAAGTTACATATTCCTTTTAAATTTCAATTCTAATTGAAGTTTCTTATGGTTGACTTTTGGAAAAGTAGCTCTGAAAAAAGGGGGAATTGTACTTTTTTTTGCTATTAATTTTTTAACTTTTACACTTTTACTTTACCTCTTTTTAGTCACTATTTCTTTTTTATTCTGATTTCTTAATCTTTCCAGCTTTGCAGAATATCAAAATGATAAACTGAATGAGAAAACAACTTTTTAATACTGCATTTTTTTTCCCATTCTGAGGGGAGAAATCAAGTCCTCAAACACAGAAATGAATAAAACCGAGACTGAAATGTTTACTGCATTTTGATCTTCATCCTAAAAAAGAAGCTGAAAAACGAAAACTATGAAATTATATTGCGATACTGATCAGTTACCTTTCTCAGGAATAGAAACTGGTTTTCTAAGCTGCTCCAACCTTAAATATGGGGAATGTTTTCCCCATTCCCCATTTCCCCATTCACAGTAGTTGTAATCAACAGTGAAAGCTACAGATGCATCAGTAAACTGGTGCTCAGCTTTTCACATACATCTTTGTAGGCTTGAGTAAATATGAATACTGATGAGACAGTCAGACTAAGATGGGATTAAGGTTATACATGCAATGTGCTGTGTCTTAGGGACATAACTGAGTGATTTTTTTAATGTTTTGCAGATGTGTGAAGCTGGAAATCACTTTATCAATGTAGCTCTAGCTCAGCAAAATCATTCAGGTTTGTCTTTCCTCTTTATTCAGGTGCTTAACCTACATCTTTTGCTGATGTGCAGTAATTTATATGTGTACATCCACAGAATAAAGAAAGATGAAATAGGTACTATGTCATCAGTAGGAAACGTTAGCGACACCCTTGTTCCAAAACTTGCAGCAAATTTATCTTAATTATAAACAGCTGCATTTTAAATAGGCATTTAAGAATTGGAGTTTTCATATCATTGATTGACAACAAAGGATTCAATTTTAAATAAGCTTCAAAACCCTTAAGCTAATTTGCATAGTTTTGAGATACATATGAGATACACATGAAGCACTAATGTCCAGTGCACACCTATGTACAAATACATAAGCATAAACTCATGAATATCCACACAGACATCGAAGTGTGCATGTGTGTGCTTTCAAAGGCTGTGCCAAACGTGAGTTCTTCAGCATATTTTGTACCTTGAGAATCACAGTTACACCATATGTACCAGAAAGTAAAATATATTTTCAGATTTATTGCAGTAATCCGTGTTATTTCCCACCCCATTCAAGAAAATACTTCGTCATGGTATCATCAGCTTTCCACAGAGAAGCAAGTTTCTATTCACAAAGCATTTCACATACTGTGCTTAGGTTCTTTGCCACAATGTTTAAAGAAGCAATAGACCAATTTATTAGCACACTGAAGTGTCTGTAAGTATTAAACACAGTATTTTTGCCAAAACCTAAAAAAACGAATGTTGCCTGTGTCACCTTCTGCAGGAGCATTATCAGGGATAAAGCTGTGTTCCTCACCTGGCATCATACAAACATGGTTTTGTGTGTTTTCTGTTTTTTTTTCTCTTTCATGAAGGAAGTAAAGCCTGCTTTCCAAGTCCTACTTACAACCCTTTCACATGGCTCTTCCTGCTGGTGTCCTGTCCCAACTACACGTATGAGGTATGGAACTTTCTGGGAATCACGTGTGAGGGTCGGTCACTGTTTAGTCTCTATGCATGAATCTGTCTTTGATATTTCAAAGCCTCCTTGCTCCCACCAATACATACAGGCTCCTCACTGATCCAAGCACTTTCCACCTGTTTTTTCCCCCTATCCAGAACTGTGTTGTCTCTTTCTAGCTAGATTTCCTCTCTCCCTTTTCCCAGGTGACTTCCTCCTGCAGTGGGAGCTCTGACCACAATTAACATTGCTTTTGTCCTTTGCAACAGGTTGGGTCCTGGATTAGTTTCACAGTGATGACACAAACACTGCCAGGTGAGTTTGCAACTGCACATAAATTGTTTGTGGAATTTGCCCCGCATTTACAACATTTGAACTCTTGCTGTCAGATCCCCCATATGACATTACCGTGTGAAGCTTCAGAGTGCCACCTTTGGAGAGCTGCCAAGGGCACTTCTTTTGATCAAAACCTGCTCTCTGCTATTTGTTAAATACTGGTGTTTCTTCGGTTTTCACAGTGCAAACAGACTTTGAAATGTAATAAGAGTGTATTTCCACATATATTTGATCATTTCGGATATAGGGAATTTTCTTTGCACTGTAAACCTGGGAGACTGCTCCTGAAAGGATAAGGAAAACAGATGTACTGAGTACTTGTATGAGTAAAGACACAGACAGGTTTCTGAGGGCATTTCCCCTGTTGCATATATCAGGAATCCATAACAACTGCCTGCTTAGTAATGTTTGCAAATCTTACTTAAGATTTGCTTGCTTGCTTCCTACTTAACCTGCATCTTTAGGGACCTAAATGTCCCTGCAAATGTGGCCCATGGGACCTAGCTCAGCAAAACATTAACTTTTTAATTACTTCCACATTAAAAAAGGATACAAAAAGTTGCCCCACGCGCTTTAGAAATGGGAGAAGACAGGAATTTCAAACATGGACTCAAATGCATTATGCAAAAAAAAAAAAAAAAAAAAAAAAAAAAGCTTTTATGGGGGAAGGGAGGGGATTTTTGTTCAGGAATGTCCTGGAAGTTTGGTGTTGCAGGGCTCCAGCAGCAGAGAGCAACAGCAGTAAGCTATTCTTGCTGTGATTGCCTCAAACCTACAGCTTGTCCAGATAGGAAATTGATGTTTCTGATCCCCCAGCATGGCACGTATTAAAGAGGAAATGGAAATGAATTTGCAGAAAGTACCCTCAGGTGCATTCTGCACTCTGCCACTCAGCCTAAAGATACCGCATCCTGAGACCTGACGATCACCATAGGCTCCCACAAAGCTAAAATCTGGCTTAGTGAGGCCTAGCTGCCAGGCACCTAAGCCCATCACAGCACATACTCTGTTCTTGCTCCAGGGACCTCCTGTCCTTCTGTACAATAGGATGTTATAGCATGTCTCCCTGCTACAGTTGGGTGCTGGAGCTAGGAATGAAGTGGTGTTATAGGCCAAGAGTAAATCAGAACAATACTTCAGAAAGCCCATGAAAAATCTTATGTGGAGACTGCCTCATGGCAGAAGGAGCCTTGTGATATATGGAGAACCCACAGGGGCTATACGCTGAGCGTGAAAGATCTAAATAGCTTCTGTGTAATTCTGCAGGGGCACCTCAGGGTGTGCTAACCCAGCCACAGCAAGGCTGAGGGCAAGAACAACACTGGCCTGTCTTCCGTACGGAAGAGACTGTAGACTTTTCCATAAATCCTTTTATAAGGACAGACAAAGAAAACAAAAGTTCCTTTTCCTTTTTTCTTTTTTTCTTTTTTTTTTACCAGTTGGCATTTTTGCTTTCCTGATGGTCATCCAGATGTGTCTCTGGGCCAAAAAGAAACACAAGCTCTATCTGAAGAGGTTTTATCCAGAGGTGCGCAGAAAAGCGGCTATGATTCCTGTCATCTTCTGAGCTCTTCACAAGAGTTGAAGCCTAAATGTATTGTTCAATAACTGACTCTGAACATAAATGAGCCATTTTGTTCAATAATCAAAAGAACAGCTACTGAGCATCTTTTTCAGAAAATTAACAGATCAAAACACAGAGCTTTTAATTATGTGAAAAGTATATGGTCTTGAATTCTTGTTTCCTGCTAAAAGATATGATTAAATCAGATTTTGTGTAATGGAGCTAACTGGGAAAGAACAAGAAAATTGTGCTGTTGAATGTTAGGATATATATTTAGCTGCTGTAAACAGATACAGATTCTGTTAAAATTAACAGAGTATGGTTCACTTGCATGCATTCAGGTCTGGCGATTTTAAGGTTCAATGTGATGGTGACTACATACTAAATTCATTGTCTTTTGCAACAGCCTTATTTTTATTAAACTGCACAGAAACAGCATGTTCCGCTTCAGCTCCTCTAAAGCATTACATCAAAGAATGACTGCTGTGCTGTTAATACAGTTTAGCACAGCTTTACAAGGTTTCTCTTTCTTTTATAATTTAATCTGATGGCAAATTGTTGAGTACAAATTGGCTTAAAGTGGTCATCACAGAGAGGTCTGGTTTCTTTCATTTTCAAGTAGGCAGATCAGCCTCATCCTCACAGGAGAGGCCCGTGGGTGAAGTGATTCCTGTCTTACAACTAATGTGCTGAGTGGCCTTGGGTACATCATTTACACTCCAAAAGAGCCCTCCATCCCCCATTCCCACACTGGAATGTGCAAGCAGCAAGTGTCTTTCTGAAGCAAGCAGCGTATTAGGATCCTCACGTTCAGCACGCTAACACAGCTGAGCATCATTGGGCCATCCCCGGGCACAAAGGGACCCTGAGCAGAGGTTGCTCTCAGTGCTCTCTTTCATCTTTTATTGACAAAAGCACATTTCAGTCTCTGTCTGAATTGCCTCAGATAGGTGTTGCTGAAGAGCTTCAGCTCCCCCTCGGTTTGGCCACTCATTTCTGTTGGCTGTTTTGCTATCCACGACATTGTTTTTTTAAGGTATCCATTTGTTTTTCAAGCCAGAATTGTTTTGGCAAGCATTAATGCCTTAAAACCCATATCTTAAGTCCAGTTTTCATTCTATTTCCATTGCATATCTCTCCTCTCCTTTAGGCCAGCAAAAATGCTTGCCCAAACAACTTCAATCATCGGAGAAATACCAAAGCCGAGAAGCATAGAGCTTTTATCTGTTAAAGGCACTGTTATGCTAGTACCAGCTCAAGTGCTCTAATAAAGTTAATTTGCCTAAGAATTGGATTCATATCCCTCTTGACCGGTCACGAGTGGTGCTCCCAGGAGTCAATGTTGGGGCTGGTCCTCTGTAATATCTTTATCGATGATCTGGATGAGGGGTTTGACTGCACCCTCAGCAAACTGGAAGACGACACCGAGCTGGGAGGAAGAGTTGATCTGCTGAAGGGTAGGAGAGCTCTACAGAGGGGTCTGAACAAGCCGTATCAATGGGTTGCGGCCAACTGTATGAGGCTCAACAAGGCTAAGTGTTGGGTCCTGCCCTTCGCTCACAACAACCCCATGCAGTGCGACAGGCCGAGGGCAGAGCAGCTGGAGAGCTGTGTGGCAGAAAAGGAGCTGGGGATGTTGGTCATCAGCTGGCTGAACATGAGCCAGCAGTGGCCCAGGTGGCCAGGAAGGCCACGGCCTCCTGGCTAGTACCAGGAACAGTAGAGCCAGCAGAAATGGGTAAGTGATCCCTGTATTCGGTGCTGGTGGGGCTGCACCTTGAACACTGTGTTCAGCTTTGGAACCCTCACTACAAGAGAGACATTGAGGTGCTGAGCGTGTCCAAAGAAGAAGGGCAACGAAGCTGGTACAGGGGCTGGACCCTAGGAGGAGCGTCTAAGGGAGCTGGGGTTATTTGGTCTGGAGAAGAGGAGGCTCAGGGGAGACCTTACCATTCTCTACAACTACCTGAAAGGAGGCTGTAGTAAGGTGGGTGGGGGCCAACCTCTTCTCCAAAAGAACTACCGAAAATAGAAAAGAATAAAAGGCCTAGAATTGTGCCAAGGGACGTCCAGGTTAGACATTAGGAAGAACTTCTACACAGTAAGAGTCAAGCATTGGAATACACCGCCCAGGGAAGTGGTCGAGTCCCTGACAGTGTTCAAGAAATGTGTAAATGAGGCACTTAGGGACATGGTTTAGTAGATGTGGTTTTGAAGGCTTTACAGTTGGACTCAATGATCTTAAAGGTCTTTTCCAAGCATAATGATTCTATGATTCGATAATGTCTAATCTACAGATTTGCAATACTCATCCTATTAGTTGCAGAAACAATGAGCTATGTTTGGTGATGGTGGCAGCTACTAGAAACAGGCAAGTAAAACATGCCAAGATGCAAAAAATGCTTCATGATTTTTCTTGCTCAAATAGGCAGATGAAACGTCCTTGTAACTAACAAATTTAAAAAGACAGTATTTGCAGCAGCCAAGAACACCCCTGCATCTTGGCCTTACTTTATCAATGACCACCAGGTCAGAGGTGCCCCTTTAAAGGCTTTAGCAAGTAATCCTGTGTTCTTGAAATAACTCCATTTCATCTTGGCAATGTAAATAGATCACCTTCCATATTTTTAACTCCTAACCTGTGGACACCTAGATTATTTTCTTTCTCTTGATGATCTATCTCAAGATCAAGTTTTTTAGAAAAACATTATTTTCAGTACTCATAACATTAATAGCAGTAACCTCATAATAATTCATCTGTGCTATGCAGATGAGTAATGAGAATATTTTCTTTCTCCCCTCTCCCCTCCCCTTTATAATTTAAGGTGTATTAAATGTCTAATTGCTAACAAGTTTAAGATACTCCCTGTAATCCCCTGATTACAATTGTTCAGCTTAAATCTGTTCAAGGCATATCTTTATAAGGCGCATTTCCCGAGTAATTCAAATTACTGTGAGTGAGGGTCTTACCTTAAACAGAATAAGCACTTTGGGAAATGTTTTCTGACCTGCTTGTGGGATTGTCAATCAGCATGCGGGGTGGGAAAGAGGGGTTGCATAGTGATTGGCAAAAGTTTCATAATCAGCATAAGAGCAAACACTTGCAAATGTTTACAGCAGTCTGCCTGCAATAAATATGGCAGATGATTTAGGTTTCACAGATGCAGTCTAGAATAGCTGGAATTGCTCTGAAGTGTGTTAAATGACTTTGCAAATGGTAAACCCAACTTTCTGCGTTCACAGATCCCTCCATATATCCCTGCCTTCTCTGATTTCCAGGGCAAGGGCTACAAGATGAGAACAGATATTCTATCTTCCTGAAAGGGACGACACATTCCATTTTCAAACATAAACTGTATTAAAATCGTCAGTCTTTGCTTAGGGACCTTGCTTTTGGAAGCCAAAACAATCCCGCTGTAAGATTGGTATCACTACATAAAAAGTTGATGATTTTAACCCCTGATGATGATTTTAACCCCAAGAACAAAGACCTTTTGAAGCAAACTCCATTTTCTTAACACAGACATCTTCATGGGAAAGTTTGTCATGACTCTCTTAATTCCCTGGGAAAAGAAGATTCCCTATGCAGTTCCAAATATGCTGATTTTTTTTTTTTTATATAGGGCTTGGAAACGGTTCATTTCAAGTACCTTTGACAGCATGTTCTCTTAAGGACAGAGCTAACTTTTTCAGAGCCCTCAGCCTAAGGCACATGGGGCCAGGGTCACGTTGCTATCAGACTTCATCACAAGTTGGGGTCAGCAGGAAGCAGCCGGTGCACAGCATGACCCAGCGCGCGCAGCTTGGCCCCACGTCGCGTGTGGAACACGGGGGCTGCCCTAGCACTGCTGCCAGCCCAGCCTCTTGGCCTGAACCATTGCAAAGCTGCTGCTGGCTGAGAGCATGTTCCTAAACACCTGCACGCTGGCCTCTCTGCTGGCATCCAGGAGCCTCTGTGCTGAACCTGCAGCTTGCAGCTGCGTTTCTGCTCCCATCCTTCAGGTGGGTAAGTCTCACCTTTCCCAAAGGCCGAGCCCGAGACTTGCAAATTTCGGGAACCTGAAGCATGCTCCAAGTGTTGGGAGGTGGAAACAGACACTGGCAGGTGCTGCTGCGCACAACTTTGCAGCCTATCTTTGGATTCACAGTTTAGAAAAGCTCCCAAGACCCAGTCATATGCACGTCTTATGGGAGAGCTGCCACATCTTGTTAGCTGGAAGTCATCACAGTGATTTCATCTTTCCACAGGCGAAATAGACCTCGAAAGGACACTGAAAGTGGAAGAAGTGAAACAAGGCAGATGGTCATCCTTTTTTAAAGATCCTATTATCATCAAAATATCTTGTACTTTCCATTATTTTATATAAGGAAGTGACTCTAAATTGGCTTTTATCACACTAGGAACTGAGAGGAAGCAGCCTGATATCAAAGTAGTGTTCTGAAAGAGATATTGCAATGATAGCTAAATATAATAAAATAAAAAGCATGGAATGTGAAGACTTCCAAAGCACACTATAAGAGGAAGAAAGCCATAGGAAAGCAAGAGACTATTTATTTACAGTTTTAACAAGGCCTGATGAACTAAAAATTAATTCAAACCACAGAAAATTTTCTAGCAAACTAATATTTTCCACATGATGTTTTATTGGCTTCCCTTTCCTATATTTTCTTGGGCCCAAGTTTTGTCTTCAAGCTATATTCCCTGTCATTAGCATTCATGAAATCTCTCACAGGAGGATGCTGCATGCCAGTTCCTGTGTTTCCACCGATAAACGTAAATGAAGTGTTGTGCTGTCACTGCACTCTAATGAATATCTACATGAGTAATGCATTATTATGAAAAGCCTGGTTTGTCACAGGTGAATGTATAAATGCTGCTATATAGCTCCAATTAAAGGCAGTTTGAACATCGCACTGTTTCAGCATCATAGAAAAAGTTTTATTTTAAAGGTCTCCCTCAATGTCATGTTCAGCCACATGTGACTCAAACCTGCAATTAATCT